ATGGTACATCCCTTTTAGATCGTCATATGGCTCCAAAGAACCCAAGTTTTATTTGTTAACATGCATGTGATTAAATAAATCAATAACGTGGACTTTTATTTTTATCCTCAAAATTCCCTTTTGATCCCAGCCATCCAGAAAGTGTATGTACCAGTGTGCATTTGGTAGTCAAGCTACCTGTGGCTTTATTTTATTTTTTTAATCCTTACTCAAGGACATTTTCTCATGACTTTTTAGAGAGAGAGGCAGAGAGGAAGGGAGAAAGAGAAACATAGATTGATTGCCTCCTGTATGTTCTCAGACCAGGGATTGAACCCACAACCTAGGTACGTGCCCTGATCAGGAATCAAACCCACAACTCGTCAGTTATGGGACAACACCCCGATGAACTGAGCCACACTGGCCAGGGCTACCTGTGCCTTTAGATTAATATCTCTTTTGACTTTCTGTCCATCCTTCAAAGCTTTTGGGAAATTAGTCTTTAACAAGTGATCTTCACTCTCTAAAATTCCCCAAAAGTTCCTTCCTTGGGAATTTAGCAAGATATATATGTAAACATTTTGGTCTTTCCTCTTGTGCCTTTCTAATACAATGGACCAACTTAGCAAAAGTAATTTAGGAAAACCTTTGTTTTAAGTCCACCTCAATGGCCTTTCCTTAAGGAAAGAATTTCAAATACCTTGGGAACAATGGAATGTATTCTCTGATTGATATGTAGAAGCTTCTAAAATACAAAATGATTTCAAAAACAGCTCTAAAGGATCTACAGGAAACTTTGGCCATCTGGGCAGGTAATTTTTAACTTAGGCAGTTAAAAGCAAAGTCTCCTATAAAGGGCTAATAAAAAATTGAAGATATAAGAACCTAAACCAAGACAATAAGATCAGTTGGTTTTTTATCCTCTCTCTCCCAGGAACAGCCATTGCCCCTTCCGTGTTCTAAGGGCTTGAGGGAGCTGTCTGCTTGCTTTGGGACCTGCCGGCTGTCAGAGGAGATGACTTCTGGAAGGTTGTGACCTTTGCACACTGTTGGGTCCATGGGCTTGTTCTGTGCCTTCAGAAATGTTTGCTGTTTGTCCCACCTGAGACCTGACAAGATAATTCAAGGAATTTAATAATTCCTTGATCAGAAATTAGGTAGAATTAAAAGTATGATAGAAATTTTTTTAAGGTTTCCTCAGCAACTCTCCCAGGCTCTCCTGTGAAAAATCAGGAATGTAAACACAGTTCACAACTGCTTGTGACTGAGCAAACCAAAGGGAAAAAAGTTAGGCGAGAACCTTTAAAAGCACAAGCAGCTGAAAAGGTTCCCTGACCAGGAATCTAACAGGTGACCTTTTGCTTTGCGGGACAACACCCAACCAACTGAGCCACACTGGCCAGAGCAATATAATTTTTATGACTTTATCTGAATTATCACTGGGTATTTTTATCTTTATTTTTCTCCTAAGCTACCTATGACCTATAGCAATTTGGTAAATTATACCTTTGTAAGGAGAATTGAAACATTTATCTTTTTCTTCCTACCTGATTAGAAACTTTTAGTAAGTGTGTTATTCCTGTTTCCCTGGCCGTGTGGTTATTTACTAAGTTCAATAAGGATCTGTCCTCCTGTAACAGGTCACAAATGGAAACATTGGTTATATAACCAAGGCGTTGACGGGAATGTCATGTATGACAGAGACGTGAATCATGGATAGACTCAGATATGATCAGACAGCTTGGAGGAGCAACTCTGGGCTGTGGAAGCCTCCCCAGGAAAGCTGGCCTGGTACCTTGTGTTCAGGGTTCCCAGAAGCCTTACCAGCCGCCCCTTTTCCTGACGCCCTACAAAATGAATGTAAACAATTTGATATAACTTCAAAGAAATCATTTTAATAGCTTATACTTAGATAATCTTTGTGCCTGATACAGAGACATACCAAACTTCAACACTGACATGTACAATTTTTCTTAAGATCTGCCCCTTTTGATTAAACAGGAGCTTTCACTTTTTGAAATAACTGTAGGTTGACCTATGCATTTAGTTTTATCTGCCTTTGTTATTCAATTAAATAAAGGAAATTAAGGAATTCAACACCACAATTTATAACCAGATTAATACACATATTAGAAAAGACACTTTCAGAAGGACTCTTTAACCTAACCAAGATGGAAAGGACCATATCAGTTACTCCTAACTAATTATCGGGCTGCCAAATTTGAAGTTGCTGACTCTTGGATCTGTGCTTCCCACTTAAAGAAAGTTCCTACACCCAAACTGGACTGCTCAACCAACAGAGGACCTGAAATTAAAAATCACTAGGAAGTGAATCAGACAGCATCTGTTGTGGACAGCTAACCCCAAAATCTGGACTAGGTTTGTATAATCAAACCTTTATTTTTCTTCCCCCCCCCCGCCCCTTATTTTAGTTCCTTCCTATCTCACAAATAATATGAGAGCCTAAGCACTCACTATAGTATTTATTGTTTCCTTTTCCCCGTAGATTTCTACCTGGAAAGATAACTCACCAATGGGCATCATTTTTAACCTAGTTCACAGGTCAAAACATGCAACTCGTTGAACACATAGTGAAGGGTATTCAATTCCTGTAAACCCCAGTAAAGTTCAGATTTGAAAGTATACTTTTTCCTTGGGCAGATGTTGTAGAGAATGATACATGATTAGGAACTTATCAAAACCCTAAAAGAAACTGTTGGATGTACCACCAAAGCAATAGCCACCCAATAAAAAAAAATCTTTAGAGTCCCTGGGCAAGTTGTATTTGACAGTAGAATTGCTCTTGATCACACGTGAGCTGAAGAGGGTGGGTTTTGCTCTACTGTTAAGGTCTCTTGTTGTAGATGGATATAACACCTCTGCTGAAGGACAGTTGGAACTAGATGAAACCTGGCACAAACTGAATGATTAATACAGTACCGCTGGCACTCCTAGCTCTTTGGTATCTTCGGCTGGCTGCCCTCAGTTATTGCCTCCTGGTTCAGATCTATTCTCCAAATTGGACTTACCATTTTGTTTGTTATTATTGAAATCTTTGCTGTTACAAAACTTTGTTCATTTTGTGTAGCTTGATGACACAAAGACACCACTCAGATAATGGTTGCTCACACTTTCAGATGATTACTAAGGCTTAAGGGACCTCATATCAGAAACCTCAAGAAACCACAGAAGGTGTTTGTCCTTAAGAGTATGAAGCTTTCCTGTTCTGGCATTCTTGTTGCTCAAATGTGGCCTAAGTCCACTCAGGAAACCTCTCTCCCTCTTACCCGAGTCATGACACAACAGGTATGAACATTGCCAGCAACGAAGGCCGAATGATGCTGTCCATACAAGATCGGTGTTGCTTTTCCAGAGGCTGATCAGAGATGCTTTCAAGGAAAGATCTTAATCAAATGGGAGAAATGTGAAAAATAATATAAATGGATCCACCTCAAAATGGAGTTAGAGCTGCTACTCCAGAGGAACTAACTGCCTTATAGGACTTATGCCTCAAACCTTTGGAGTTTAAACTGGGCAAAATAACCTTTAGGCCAAACCAACATTGTATTCCAAACAAGTTTTTGCAACGTTCACAGGAAAGCAGACTGAAAATTAAAGGCATTCTTTAAAAAGAGCACCACTATGTATAGCTAAAGAATGACTTAGCCTATTTGCATCTATTGAAATTCTTTTCTTGACTTAACACCAATAAAAGTTCCTTCCTTCTATTCAGGCAATTATTCCCCTTCCCTTTCTCATAAAAACCCACTGCCTTCACCCGCAATGGAAACACTATCTGGGTTTGTTTTTACTCAAATCAGTGCTTCCCAAATAGCTATTCCTTTGGATCGCCAATAAATGTTTGTTGCCTCTTACTGTCATCTTTTGTTTTTTAAGTTAACAGTGGGTTCCACTCCATTTTAAAATTCAGTTTTTAAAGTCAACTTGAATTTATGGTAACTCAAGGCTGGACCTCCTCTTTTGAGTTGAGAAGGCGATGGGAAAAAGCGTTCCCTAGGGGTGGGGGAGGGGGGCCCCAGCAGCGGGAAGCTGGAGAGGATGCGATCTTTGGGGGAAAGGGTCCTGGGTTGGACACCCCTTCCAGTTCCTCTCTCCTCTGCGAAAGCCGCCGTGTCCCCTCACATACACCCCCACCCTCTAACCTCACGCCCGCCACGCTCCTCTGGGGGCGGGGGGCACCCCGGGCTGCGGGGCGCTCCGCCTCAGAGCCGAGCTGGGCTGGCGCGGCGCCCCGAGCCGAGGGCCGAGGGCCAGCGGCGGCCTCGCGGCGCGTCCACATGTGGCGGGGCCGCAGGGGGCGGGGGGGACCCGGAGCCGAGGGGGGAGGGTTTACTTCTCCGCGAAGTTCCCGGATGGTCGCAGCCTCCCGGCGCTGAGCGCTTTTCCTGCCGGGCGGCTCAGCCTCACAGACCTGGGAGAAGTTTCCCAGAAAAAAATGCCCGGCGCGTCGCGGGGCCCTGGAGCCTCCTGCAGTCGCTGCGCGGTAAGGGACGCGCCGCCGCCGCCTCGGGCGCCACAGGTTTCCGGGGTCTCCAGGCAGCGACCGCGGAGACCCTCGCGCCCTCCCGGGACGCCAGGAGGGGTTGGACTCGGAACCGCGACTTGGCACCGGGGGCGGGGGGGGGGGGGCACGGGGCTGGTGGTGCAGCCGGGGCCGTCGGGGCTGCGGGCGCTGCATCCGCTGCGGGCTGCGGGCGCGTGGCCTCGGGAGGGGCGCGTCTCCCGGCCCCGCGGCCTGCGCGACCCGCCCGTCCGGCAGACGGGGAGGGAAGCGGCCGTGGAGGGCGAAGCTCCGGACGCGGCGCTTCCCGGGCTGGGCGCGTCCCCGGACCGCGTCGACCCCAGGGCCGCCCGGGGCGCTCGGGACCCATTCGTTGCCGTACTTGATCCCGGCAGGGGTTTCTCGGAAGCGCGCGGGGCTGCCTCTACACCCCGCAGCTCGGCTGGGTGGGGACTTTCGGGCATCCCGGGGGCCAGTTCATGCCAGGAAACCGCCTCACCTTTTTAGCCGGGGAATCACGCCCATCCCGTAACTCGATTTCCCCAACTAGCCTCCCGCGGGTGTCCCAAGACTGATGCTCGCTCTGTGGTCCTTGTGGACGCGCGCGTTAGCTGTATCTGTTCACCGTAGAGGCACTTCCAGTCCCGGTCAGCACTTTTTCCCCCACCAGGGCCTCTTCTGAGCTATCCGCACAGCTTCACTTCAGTCTCCTTCTCCCTAGTTTTTTCTATAGTATTAACATAATCCCTCCCTCCCTCCCTCCTTCCCTCCTTCCTTCCTTCCTTCCTTCCTTCCTTCCTTCCTTCCTTCCTTCCTTCCTTCCTTCCTCTTTCCTTCTTTCTTTCCTTCTCTCTCACTCTCTCAAAAAAACAAACAACCCCCCCCCCCAAAAGGAAAAGCAGTTAAAAAAAGTTGCAAGTGTAAGAGGAACCAGCTGCCCCACTCGGGGCGGGGTGGGTGGGGGCGGTGGCCAGATCTTCAACTGCTGGTGAGGTTGAACTACTTGAGATTAACAAAGGGGGTGCCTGTGTGAAGAAGGCTACCTGGTTCTGGGTAGTCCCTGAGGGGCGAGTCCCTCCTGGGCCGGCTCCTGGCCTTATCTCAGTTCTCCGGGAAGCCTCTCAAGTTGTCAGCGGTGATTGGGTGCCTCGATATCTTTTTCTGAAAATTGTGTGTCACTGTTGTCCCCTGGATAGTCACTGGATGCCACCCCCAGTTGCTGACCGCGTGTAACCCCTGACTCCAGGCGATGCAGCCTCGGAGCCCCTGGACAGAGGCCCGCCCTGGGTGGGTTTTATGTTGCCAGTTTCCAACGCAATGTCAAACAGCACTGTAGCTTCATTTTGAGTCATTGGCATATTTTTCCTTTTCAAAACTATATTTTTCTAATAATGGATGAATTAATTTCAAGGAATTTCCTATTGAAGTTTTTATAAATCACATTTTTACTTCTTGAGGTGAGGGAGCCCTATATCAGCATTTTTCATCTTAATTCCTCTTTATAGTGCTCAAAACACGGCCGTCTGCTTTTGCTGTGTATCTTTACCTGCATGCCATCCCACAAGGTTAAGTTTCTCAGGGACTAAATCCACAGCTGCCTGTAGGAAGCCCATTCATTACCATTGAATGGAGGTATGCAGACTAGACTCTGCAGATGTTATTAAAATATTTAAATGACATCATCTTTTTACTTGGGACCCACCCAACCCCTGCCTTCAATTTGGCTTCCTGAGAAGCACATAAACTCTTTTAGGTGTTTGTAATGAAAAGGAAAACGTTTTGTCAGCAAGGTATGATCAAATTCTGGGACATTTAGAGACAATGAAATTACTTCCAGCTGGAGAGATTCATGTCTTCTTTCATTTGTTCATTTCACAAAGTGCCTACTGGGTACCACCTTCTGGTACCCTTAGTTATATTGTGCATCCTGAGCCTCATTTATCTCCTCCAAGAAATGGGGTTGATAGTCTTGGCTCGCTCTTCATTACAAGGTGTGAGAAAATGGGGTGTGAAACGGCCAAAAGCAGCACAGCACAAGGCGTTAGGGAATACCCAGCACCTTGTAGCGTGTGGCCCCAAGACACAAGAGGGATAAGGAGCTAAAGTGGTGGAATGCAGGCAGTGAAGAGAAGCTTGTATGCCTTGTCTCAGGTGCTCTAGCCGGACGAGCCCCCTTTTGTGGCAAGTATTCGGAACTGGTTCTGTGTCACTGTCTTTGATGTTTCAGGTTGTAATTTTAGGAACATTTATAGTTTCCACAATGCACATCAGAAGAACAAAACCAATGTGCCTTTTATCTGTTGCTTTCGATTTTAAGCACCTGAGATTTCGTATTCTGCCTCTCAGAGCCGTGGTCTTCCTGGAGCCTGTGCTCCAATGAGGTCTACCAAATTCCAGTGATTCCATGCAGAGGTCTCCCTGCCACTGTGTCCCAGCAACCCACAATTGTGCTGTGGTGCTGGGAGGTTTGGAGGGCTTTTCCTTGTGAATAGCCAGGACTCACATATGTGAATCAGGTCACAGTTGGAATCAAGCCAGATACTCATCCAGCATTGAGGGTCCCTGCTAGGGGTCCCTGCTGTGCTCTGTGCTAGGGGTAGAGGGGGAGAGCTAGCTCAGAGAGAGGTGAAGTTGACCCTGAATGCTTACCTTCTGGTAGAAATGAGACATGGTCTTAAACAGAAGGAATGCAAGACAGAATATAGTAAATAAGGTTAAAAAAAAAACGGTACAGATAAAATACAGGGAATTTAGAGGAGAGTGAAATTACTTCCAGCTGGAAGGAGTCAGTCCTTTACCCATTTGTTGGTCCATTTAACAAGTATTTATTAAGTGTGTACTACGTGCCAGGCAGAGGAAGGTTAATAGGCAAGTGCGCTTCATGCTTCACCTTCCCTGCCCCAACTGGGGAACAGTTCAGGCCCCACCTCTCTGTGATGAGCGAACACTTCCTCCCTCAGCCTCACCGTACTGCCTAGCCCAACATTTGTCAAAGTACTTAACCCTGGCTCTTGTATACTTTGGAATAATAAAAACCCTAGGCTCACTGAAGCCCCCAGAATACCTTCAATTAGCTGGGTAATGCTATTCTGCCCAACACACTTTAACCAGTATTGAAGTATGCTGGTCCTTAGCCATGGGTATGACTGGAAGCTTATAAAGGTTTGATTCAGTTAGGCTAGTGTGAGGCTCAGGAGTCTAGGTTTTTAAAGCCCCCAGGTGAGGCTGACATGCTGCCTTGGGCAGGGGTCTCTCAAGGTGGAAGCATGGGACAGGCATTCGGACAGGCCTTGTTTCCCGTCCCAACTCTGTCATTTATAAGTTCTGTGACCTGTTTCTTTACCTTTAAAATCTGCCTTGTTCTGAATGTGGGATGAAGTCACACATGTGGATCACTTAGATTGTCCAAGGTAGTGCTGCAGTTCAGTATCTGTGGGCTGTTATCATCATCATCAGTGTTAGTTTGTGCAAAACGCGGTTGATGTTCCTTTTTTCATATAGGAATACAAAGAGCCTAAACACAGGAACTGCTTTTTATATAAAGTAACATTTTCAAGAATCCCTTAGCTGTTTGTAGTCTATTGAGAGTCTCATACCAGTCGCCTCAAGTGTTCTCTTAACATCTAAGAAGGAGGAATCTCACAGAACAGAATCTCAGTTTTGGGGGCTCCCAGCCTTTGGTATTGGCTTCCCCAGTGGAGCCTACTCTACTGAGATTGTCAGGGCAGATACAAGGCTGGAAACCAATGACATACTACTTTCCTGGCCCTTTGGCACCAGGGTAACACGCTGTGGCCGTCGTGCAGTGACCATCATCAGTATGGGGTGACCAGTAGGACTGCCTGCCTCAGGTCAAACTGCTTTGGTCACAGGTGTAGCACCTAAGCCCATGGAGTGGACATACCACTGCTCTTGTGTTCTCTCTTGGCCAGGGGTCAGGGAACTGTGATTCCAGGGAAGCATGCTCGCTATTAGTCTTCGGAGGAGTTGTAAACTAACTTTGCTAATACTCAATAAAAGAAGAACATAGCTAAAATACATAGGACACACAATTACTTCCAATTTTCGTTAGTTTAGAAGCTTTAGTAAATGTTGCTATGAAGTTATACAAATTTAGTATTTTAGCATTGCTTACTATGGATATATTTTTTTCTCATCCAATAAGCCATATTCCCAGTGTAACTCAGTTTTTTCTTTTTCATTCTCTTTTATCTCCTAGTTATATTAATTTGAGTGAATTGGAATTTTAAACCTTTCTATGATCTGGCAAGCTTTAAAAAGTCTCCCTTTTCTTCCCTTCCACTCACTGTCTCTTTTCCTTCTTTTTTTCCTATAACATTACCACTTACTATTTGTCATTTAATTGAATCATTTATAGTCACACAAGGTAGTCACAGAGCTAATATTCAAATCTGGGGCAGTCTGATTCCTAACTTAACCCTAATTTCCCCTTCAGTGGTGATGTATACTACTCTTCATGTAGGGGACTCTTTTGTTCCCCTGTGTGCCTTTGCTTACTTGCCCTTTCTTCTCCCCATTTTTTTCACTTAATGTTGCATCCTATAGGTTCTTCAACCTGGCCACGAATACTTGTTGAGAAGAAAAATAATAGACTTTGCTAAAAATAAAAGGAGAATATAGCTAAAATAAACAAGAGATACAATCGCCTACAAATTTCACTAGTTTGGTAGCTTCATTCAACATGGCTTGCATTATTAAAACCTGCTTCTTTAGAACAGCAAAATGCCCTCTTCTGCACGAGCTGATTCCTGCCTCTCCTGGTATATTCCCGTAGCTGTTTGTTTGCGCGTCACCTGGGGCTTGGAATCCACTCTGTCCTGTACTGGACTCACGTGTAAGTGTCCTTCTCCTTCATTACTTTATAAACTCTCTCAAAGCAGTAACTTACAAAAATCACTTTTGTATTCAAAAACAATAGATTTTTATATAGGAGGGTCTCAATTAATGTTTATCGAATGGCAGTTTCCTACTGCCACTCTGGTCTGAGAGTGGTAGATCACACTGATCTGAGATCAGTGAATTTTTCACGAAGACAAAGTGGATTTTAATGTTTTACAGAAGAGTATCTGGTTTCTGAAGATGCTAGGAAACAGATTTCATCCTAAGGGTAGTCCTTCACCATCATTGGTATGTAACATATGACATTATTTTTTATTCACATATATAATTAGCTTTATTATTGTTGTTGATTTTAGGGCACAGGTGGCAAACACAAGGCTGAATCTGGCCCTCCACCTTGTTTTATCAGGCCTGGCACATTGTTTCTACCTGGCAGCAGTGCTGACTTCTCGCTTAACTGTTAAGGAGTAGTTACATTTATACAGTCCTAAAATTACATTCTATCCTTTAAAGGCAACTGTGAGGCTGATGTGGCCCCCAGTGAAAATGAATTTGACACCTCTCTTTTAGAGAGAGAGGAGGGGAGAGAAAGAGGGAGAAAAAACGTCAATGTGAGAGAGAAACCTCGATCGTTGCCTCCTGTCTGCACCTTGACTGGGGATTGAACCCACAGCCTAGGTATGTGCCCTGATGGGGAGTTGAACCTGAAACCTTTCTGGTATAGGGGACGATGCTGTAACCAACTGAGCCACCTAGGGCTATAATTACTCTAAATGCTGTTTATTTTTATATCTTCCAAATTGAACAGTAACAATAATCCTAATAATTAAAGAAAAGCATTTTGAGTTCTTG